CCCTCCTAGCCGATCCGCCCGCCCTTTGTCCCCCGCGGCCGCCGCCCGCCGCCGCCGTAGCAGCTTTCTCTGTCTCGCTCCTTCCTCCGCCCCGACCACACCCCCTTAAAGGGCCAGCCTGCTCCGGGCCCCTCATTCTCACCCCTCCTCTAGGGAGGGACCGGGGAGGGCCTAGCAGGAAGGGTCCCCCGCCTGGCTCTCTGCACCCCTAACTTAACCTAGCCACAAACCAGACGCCCTATGTGCCTGGGGGTTCGCGCTTCCGTTGGGACCCTAGTCCTTGAACCTTGTCTCATTCTGCCCTTCGTGCAGCAGGAACTGGGGTCACCTAGGCATGGAGAGGGGTTGGCACTGTGTGTAGGGCAGGGTCTGCGGAGCAACTTGGGACCCTGACGTCTGGGGTCCCTTATCCCTGGCCAGCAAGAGTCGAGCGCGCTTCTTTGCGCAGGCAGACCCGTGTATGCAGCTCCGCAGAGGGGCAATGGAAAGACGTGCGGGAGCAGCCCTGGTGCCCGATAACCTACTTGGAGGGGTCCCACGCCCTCCATGAAGAAGCCCCGCGTGGAGCTGCCCCCCCCCACCTTCGAAGGGCCAACCCAGGGCAGCCACCGCCCACCGGCCGAGATGGCGGCGAGGGCGGCATTGTGGGAAATGTAGTTCGGGGCCGGGCCCCGCGTGGCTGCCAGGCACCCGGTGGAGACGGCCGGGGAGCGACCTGTGTTGGGGCTCCCTCCCTCAGCCGGCTGGCCAGCGTCCCGCAACCGGAGCGCGTACCGGCGAAGGAAACTGCGGCACAAAGAGGTTGCGAGCCGAGGAGTCAGGACTCAGGATAATGAAGGTAATGGTAACGCCTGGCCCAGAATTCGCCTTTATCGGGATCCTCACACAGTTCCACAGCTGGGGCCTCGCCCTGGTGCTCCCGAAGCCCCTCTGTCTCGCACACCACCCTTAAAACTGTCCGTGCATCCTTTTCCCTACCCCTTTGATTGTCTGTATCTTTAAAATGTCTCATTCGTTCCTTCATTGTGTCTTCCACTTTTAGACGGTGAGCTGCAGGAGAGGAGAAAGCTGTGTGGACTTTGCAGACGCCCAGGCTTTGGTCTCCCGGTTCCCCTTCAAATCCACGTGTGTTAGGAAATTACCTGGGCCCTGCCGAAGCCGGGCACCTAGAGTCTTAGCAGATGCTCCACACTGTGAAACAAATGACTGAAAGAATGAATGGGCGGGTGTGCTAAGTTGTACCCAGATTGTAAATTCAAGCTAGCCAGTGGGAGCAGCTTAGCAAGACCCCATCTCTAAATAAATAAATAAATAAATAAATAAATGCAAGGAAAAATGACTGGCCTCCTCATAAGGTTGTGGCAAAGATTAAATACGGGGCTGGGGATTTAGCTCAGCGGTTCCACCGCCTGCCTTGCAAGCTCAAGGACCCGAGTTTGATCCCTGGTACCAAAAAAAAAAAAAAAAAAAAAAAAAA